TTATGATTCTTGAGCTTTGGCCTTTTTGCAGTATGCTCTGTACTATGGCATGGATTAATACAACAATAAACATGATTTTTTTTTTTTAAACCACTTCCTTTCCTGTTTGGTTGTGGGGAGCAAAGTGGAACAGGCTGTCTTTATGAATACATAGAGTTAATGTTTTAGTGTAATCAATGAGTTTCTTGCTGTGCGATACCTGTATTGTCTCTGCATGTTCTGTACTGACGCTGCGGTGGAACTCTGCAGACCTGTTGTCGGAATTCACAAGTCAGCATGCTATCTGCATGGACCCTTCTGATTTATAAAGGGGTTGGCTGTTTCTGCACAAGTTTACCAGCAACTTGAGGCTAGAAAAATTCTCTTACCATCTGTAGTGCCAACTATCCAATAGGGGTAGCTAATTATTGCACAGAATTAGAGGAGTACAAATTGTACTTGAGGTTTCTACCCGGGGCTTATCATATGATGTCATCAGTCACCTTTTTGAATCTGCTGGTGTAGCGCAATCATTCTGTCCAGCAAAAGATTTTCTTGCACAGTTCTAGATTCCCTCTAGGAGATGGTTTCACCCCATCAGGAACCACTGTTCTGGAATACAGTAAACTCTCATTGTTCTTAGAATCTGGGAAATTGGTGTTGATAAAATTGAAAAGCTTCATTATTCATTTGGTGGCCTTCTTTCTTTTTATTTACAGATATTTTCTAAGATTCCCTTCAATCCCGTGATGCTGCTTCTTAGCTTTATTGACTCATATGAAGTTTCTAAAACTTCTAAGAGTATATTTCTGTGGGGTGAGGTCTGTGGTATACTTTTGGAAATGGTGTGTGTGCTTTTTAACAAGAATGGAGTAAACGAGTGACTGAATTCATCCCCATCCCGTAATATATAGGTGAATGTGCTTACAGAAATTGTCAGCAATAAATACTTAATCACTTTATGGTTTAATTAGATGATCCATGTTTTTATTTCCTCATTCAGCAAAGAGCTGTCTCCAGGCTCCCCCAGTACTGGGGCTGGGTCTGAGCAATAGCTCACTGTGGTAACTTCCTTTATCAGAAGCGTTAGGAGGTAGAAAGCTGTCTTGCCTGGTGAGAGTTTTTCAAAGCCCACTGGGCAATCTGAAGTGCCCCTCAAGTCTTGATTTGAAGATCCTTTTAGTGGTGAGATGAATCAGAGAAATCTGAATCTTGCCTGCTCTGTGCAAACTTTACAGACAAAACTTTAACACGATGTAGACTTTCCCTTTTCATCTTAAATCTTCACAAAGCTGGATACTTGCTAAATGTATGGCTGTGTTTAGAAGGCCACCAAATGAATAATGAAGCTTTTCAATTCTATCAACACCTCTAGGATGGTGAAGAATAGAGCAGATCCCTAGCTTCTTTGGTCAGCAAACAGGTGCCAGGTAGTAACAGAGAGAGAGACAGGAAGAGCAGTGGCAACTGCTCATGGGGGCTAGAAGCCTCTGGACACGGCCCTTGGGGGAAACTTACTAAAGTGAAAGAGTGAGTGATGAGCTGTGGGTTTATGATGGGGAAGCAGGTTTGAAAGTGGTGAAAGGAGGAGAGGGAAGATCATCAGGGAACAGAGACCTGATTGGTGGTAGTTGCCTGGTGGAGGGTAAGTCAGGGAAATGAAGATGATAAGTCACAGGAGTGATAGGGTATGACTTTCATTACAACGTGAGTCATTGTGACTGCTATACTGAGATGATTTGGGGGGCAGAACGGAATTGGGGTGTCATGTGGTGTTGCAGTGACCTAAGATAGACAAGATGCTAGTTTGGGCTAAGATGTGAGCAGGGGAGGAGGTGAGAAGTAGTTTGCTAGAGCTCAGCAGGAGTGTTTATTAAATCATAGTCAGACACACAGCAGGTGTTCCTGATGATTACTTCCTGGTGGAAATGGGTCAGGATCAGATGGGTCAGTGCGCAATCACGTCTGCGTGCCAGCTGTTTGCAGATCCTTTAGTCATGGAGAAGACACACATCGTGCACTTTGTTTATGGGCAAATCATTTGACATTTATTGGGCAGCTTATGTGGGCTGGTCATCATCTTGGCAGAGTTATTATTTGTTATGGGATAATAAAAATAATTATAATAGCAAACACCTATCTGTTATGTGCTGTTGATGTTCTAAATATTTTACGACAGCTCTGTAAGGGAGGTACTATTGTAACTACCATTTCCTGATGAGGACACCGAGTCCAGGCTTATAAAATTAAGTGAAGGATCTGGGATTTGACCCAGGTCGGACATCTTCACAATCATCACTTTCAACCACACTGTCTCACTTTTGAGATGAATAGAATGTGCTCAAGAGCTCAGTGAAGTAAATGCAGCGAAGAGAGTTTATTTATTGTCCAGTAGATGACTTGTGAAAGGAAGAAGATTTGAGTTAGGCTTCAAGGAATGGTGAAAATTTCAGCTGTGGGGAGATAATGACTAGTAATGAACATAAATATGATGGAAGTGAAAGTTTACTGTTGCTCACCACCTACTAACCACGATTTTAACATTTATGACTATCTCACTTAATCTTCACCAGCACCGAGCTACCTTTAAAAAACTTCATTTTATGGGTAACGCAGATACAGACGCGTGCCAGTGTTTATAACTCTAGAGAGTGGAAGAGGTGAAGTTTGAGTCTGAGTCCAGACTCGTGGGCAGTGTGCCGGGAGTGCACACCGCCCTAAGGAAGAGGGGCCGTAGGCTTGGCGGGGCCATGGTGGCACAAAGCGCATGCGTGATGAATTTAAAACTCCTCTACTGAATCTTATTGTGCACCTCAGTCATTGGAGATTTACAAATCCAGACTCTTAGACATATTTCAGTAGTTTCTTCACAGCATCCACACACCAGTACCTGGACAATTCCAGCCTATGCAAAAGGTATGGGCCCATTAAGCAGCTTGTCTTGTGGGGAATGATAATTAGCATTAGTGAGCTAAAGTGAACGAAGGATGTTGGTAGAAGTTTGGCATGGTTTGGACTTGAGCCTTGGCTTAGCACATAGGAACACCTACAGTGCAGGAAACATACATGAGGAATGGTGTCTGGAACATAATTGCTGTTTGCATGACTAATAGCTGCTATTTTGTTAGACCAGCCTTAGTATTGGCACCATTAAGAACTTTAGCCTTTTTCCTGTTCAGGATGTGGAGCAACATGCCTAATTTAGTTTTCAATAATTCCCTCATTCGTGGAAATGGGGGCAAGGGGTTTGTTCAGCAACTGATACAGTAATTCAGGCAAGAGATGCGATGAGCTTTGAACCTTGGCAAGAGAGGGGAGGAGAGAAGAGTGTATTAGTCAGATTGGGTTGCTGTTGTAACAAATGCCACAGCCTGCATGGCTATAAAAGCATTTTCTCATGGTCACAGAAATTGGAAAGTGCAAGGTCAAGATGCAAACCATTTGGTGCTTTGCTACCTAATTAGACAATGTTTTTGTTCGCAAAATAATTGTGTAGAGTAGGCATGGACTATCCGAGGACTAGATTTGTGCATGACATTGAGGTTTAACTTTCTACTCTTTCTTTTCCTGGCACATCATTTGGTGTGTTAAACAGGGACCTTATAGATAGGGATTTCCTGCCTTTCATCTCATATGTATGTTTAGTTCTCTGTTCCTATAGTGCTCTTGAAGACACATGTGCTTCCCCCCTTACCCTACACCTGTGTATCAGTAGCTGCTGATATTTTAAATAGCTACATAGTTCAAGGACCATTGGCATGTAACAGTGCCAGGTCCAATTTGGACCTTTTGAAAACCTGTTTTGACAAGTGATTTCCAGAAACATTGCATCAGAGCTTTTGAGGTAAATTTATCAGTGTGTTGCACTGTGTTGCCTTAGTATGTGGGTGAGAATACATAGTCTGCACTTTTCATTTTTTATTGAACATAATGTATAAAATTGGTACATATCTTACATTTTCACAAACTAAGCACAGCTCTATCAATCAACATCTAGGTAAATGGACTTACAATTTTTTTGAATGACATTGCTTGGGAGAAAAGTGACTGAATCTGCTGTCTATAAAAAATGTGGGCTGTAAATTTCTTTCATTTACATTCATATTATTTCCTGTTATTTAACGGGTGTAGGAATTAGTTAACTAATCTCATCGTGGATATCACTATGGTACATATAGTACTGCTGCTTCATTGAAACTAAAATTATTGATCTGGGGAATATGTCATGTGCTTTTTAAGAGTGTCTTTGAAGTACATATAGAAAAAGAGAAAGTTGTTCATGATTAATTACTGTTAAGGAGAATTTGAAATTCAAAGGAAAAATATTACCTATCCTATCAACGCCTGTTTATTTAGCAGACTAGAGATTACTGATTCTACTTCTAATTCCTGTTCTCAAGTTTGGTATTTACTATTTGGTTAGAGCACAGAACTTGGAAGTCACCTGTTATCTTGTAAGGTTATGGTTTTATTGCTCTGTCATTAACTTTTTCTTGTTTTTTTAAGTCTAACCAACCTATCATGTTCTAACAATAGTTTTTTTTTTTTAAAGGAGCCTAGATTTCTAATGGGATTTATAAGCTTATCCCACACATACTTTTGGAACTATCTTATTGGTTCCCTAGTCAATTAACAAGATCAACAAAACATTGGACTCATTTGTTTTGTCTGTGTGTGAGAGTCACTTTGACTTTTTTGAGAATCATCTCTTGATACTAGCATAGAATTTCTGTTCTGTTCTTTCACATGCTACCTAGGAATTACCCTTTTAGGGCATGCAACATAGAACACAAAGATTCCAAACTTTCTGTGAGGGCAAATAGTTAGCCTCTGTCTGTTGTTTCTTCAGAGAAAGTTTATGATGCAAAACTAGGCTTTAATTGCTCAAGGTACTAATAAATTAATTTTCCTTATTGTTCCAGGCTGTAGCACGTAAAGCATTTACTGCAGAGAAAATGACATTGGAGACATTTTCCTGTCACACGTGACATCAGAGGAAAATCCAATGCGGATGTGTGGGCTCCTGTGTGTGTCTCATTGAACTGATCATTCGAAATCTACTTAGTAATGAAGCCACCATTATGTCCTCCGTCAGTGAAGTAAATGTTGATATCAGAGATTTCCTGATGAGCATTAACTTGGAGCAGTATCTCCTACACTTCCGGGAGTTTGGTTTTAATACTGTGAAGGACTGTGTGGCCATCAATGACAGCGTGCTCCACAAAATCGGAATATTGCCTACAGGTCACCGAAGGAGGATACTTAAACAGTTACAGATAATCTTGACAAAAATGCAAGATATCCCAATATATGCTAATGTTCATAAAACAAAGAAGAATGAGGAGACTTCCAAGGATGGCCAGGCTCCCTCTTCTGATGAGAATTCCTGTGTAGAACCTTCAGATTCAAGTCATGTTCAGACACCTAGACCAACACATTTGGAGAGTGTTAGGGAAAGTCTTGATCAAAATGACATTAATGTGGAAAACAGCCAGTCTCCTCAATCAGATAATAAATCATCTCTTCCTAAACATAACTTTTCCGATTCAGAAGAAGAACCACACCCGAATTTGGGTTCTTTTCAGGATTCTTTATTTGGCAGTAAAAGTATTGAAGTAGACTCTTTGATCACCAAGAAAAATATGGATTGCACAATCGGAGAACAAACAGAAAAAGTTGATTTGATTTCAGAAAATGTGAGCAAGCTTCCCAGCCCAGACTCTGAATGCCTTTCTTCTCTTGGCTGTTCAAAATCAGAAGCAAATTCTGGAAATGGAGCAAATGGTTTATTAGAAAAATCCCCACCATCCCCATTCTTTCAATTCCAAGGAGAAATGGTTGTAAATGATTTGTATGTTCCATCATCACCAGTACTAGCACCTATGAGAAGTCGCAGTAAGTTGGTTTCAAGACCTTCTAGATCTTTTTTGCTAAGACATCGACCTGTACCTGAGATTCCAGGGTCAACAAATGGACTTTCTGGGAGGTAAGAATTTTTATGATAAGCTGTATGTGTTTATTCTTGGGGGTGGGGAGAAGTTTACTTTTTCTTTTAACAATTATGTTTTCATTGTTTTCCCCTAAATTTGACATGCCAGTTTACTTATGCCACCAGCTTTCTTCTAAAACTTCTTATGTCCTTTCTCTTGTCCACTGTTCTCCAGGGTCCTTTTCCTCCTCTTAATTTCCTAGATCTCATCAGCATTCCCCCAGTTCTTGGGACAGTTCCCTTTCCTATTTCTATCTGGATATTCCCTGTCTGTACCTTATCTCCACGTCTGGCATTGTTCTCCTGTGAGTGCAGTTCTCATTTTGAATTGCTGATTCTGTCGCTATTAGATTATTTATTCATTGGCAGAGACCAGGTTTCTAATTCTTATATCTCTGCTGCCTGGCATGATGTTCAGCAAGATTTAATTCAGTGACTGTCTACTGAGCACTTACTTGATACTGTGATTGGGTCATGTATAAAGTAGAGAAGAATAAAGGGGTTTGTAGTGAAGAAGCCAGATGTGAAAAATATGGTAGCTGTACAGCATAAAACCACCAGAGACCAGAACGGAAGGAGGAGGGGGCTCTGCAGACTGTGGGGTCAGTGGGTTCTTGGGTGACTTCAGCATCTGAGAGGAGCTGACTTAAACAGCTTTCATCCGTTTCTCACAATTACAATTACACCTAAGATAGTTGTGTGGTTTTCTCCTGGGTTGTGGTGGGATTTTTTTTTTTTTTCCACTGAAAGCTAACATTTTTTGCTCTGCTGGAAGTCATGGTGCTCTTCAAGTTTGATAGTTGCTTGGTGACACTAAAAGCTGTTACAGGTTTCTTGTACAGGACTCAGGCTGGTACTTCTGCAAGCTCCTCCTTTGCCAGTGTCCAGTCTGCACTGTGACCAGCTACTGGTTCTTTTGCCTTTGGGCACCTTTGGTAATTACTGTTCAAGATTCTTATAGTATTCACCAATGGAAACACGGACATTTGGTATTTGCAAGAGAAAATGTGGCAGTTTATAAGACGGAGTTGATTTATATACTTTCCATTGGATCATCAACTCGTGGAGGCCCTAGTGAATCTGACGATCTTGAGATCCTTGATGCCAGTAGCGATGTCTAGTATTTGCTAGGCATTCAAATAATATTGTCATTCACCAAACACCGAGGTGCTGATTTCAATGATTTTCTTGGGTTATTTAATTCTCACAGTGACCCAGCATAGTAGTCTTCCTCCTTTTCCTTATTCGGTAACTGCACCTTAGCTTAATTTTTTCAGAATCACTTAAGCCATGAATTGGGATTTTGTCCCATTACATCTAACTCCAGAAGACACTTTCTTCAGCACACCTTTAGGAAATAGCCTTTAGAATGTTGATTGTGTGTATAAGCACTGGTGCATCTTTTCATAATGTTAGATCACTAATTTTTGTGTGACACGTTAGTTTGAAGATTCATTTTGCAAAATTTAAGTAATTAAGAATCACTGTACAGGGTCTGATATGAGTACACACAATAAAATTGTCTTTTCTAGAACAGAATCTTTATGGAGACTGCAGTGATGACTTTAGATAAGGAACATTTGGCTTAACTCTTAAACAAGATGTGCTATTTTTCATAAAATTTTGAGACTAGGTGTTCATTTAGTTGCTACTATAGACTTCATCCCATATAATGACTTGTAATTCACCTTGTGACTTGAAGTCTCCAAAAATGAGAATCGAAATGTTAAAATTAGAAGGGACTTAGCTGCAACCAGCACCTATGGTAGCACCCACTGTAGCACCCATTATAACACCCACTAGAACCTTTCCTGTGACAGTGGCAGTAAGTGGTGACTGTACCTTTGTGGTACTCAGATCCTAAAATTAGAAAGTAAATTATCTTTAGGCTTCATTACTTTTTGCCTTGTTTTCTCACCTGAATGATAGGCAGTAATTGGAAGATTTTAAGATGTTAAAATATTTGTAAAATAAAGCCAGTTTACATAATCCAAAATTCTCTTTAATCAAACAACAACTACATACTTACTCATCACACTCTTTGGCATGCCAAATAACAAGTCCATATTTTCCACAGAATTTAACTTTTCAAACATTTCATATAACCATTACAAGGAATATGCTGGGCGTGTTTTCTGTGGGGTGGGGGTTTGGGGGTCCTGGGGGTAGGGGAGGTGGGGGGGGACCTTTGTTTTGCTCTCCCTGGATGTGTCCACACCTTCCCACATCTCCTTCCTCCTTCATGCTGCACAGTTGACTCTGCAGGCAGGTGGTTACAGCATACCTCATTTTACTGTCCCTCACTTTATTGAGGTTCAAGGATGTTGCATTTTTTATGAATTGAAGGTTTGTGGTGATTCTGCAAGTTTTCCAGTTCCATTTTCCCAACAGCATGAACTGACTTCCTTTCGCATTTTGGTAGTTCTCCCAATATTTCAAAAGTTTCATTATTATGATGTCTGTTTGGTGATCTGTGATTGGAAATTTGGGTGTTACAGTTGTAACCCGTCACCACCAAAAAGATTACAACTCACAGAATGCTCAAATGATGATTAGCATTTCTTGGTAATAAAATATTTTTTAATAAAGATAGATTCTTTTTTTTTTTTTTAAGACAATGTGCTATTTCCACTTAGTAGACTACAGTGGAGTGTAAACATAAATTTTATATGAACTGAGAAACCGAAATAGCCTGTAACTAACTTTGTTTTGATGATCTGGAAGCAAACCTGAATATTTCAGAGGTGTTGCCTGTATTTTTATTTATGCCTTGGGCTTCTTGCCTGAAATCCTGACTGCTCCTTTTATCAGAAATATTGGACTGAGTGGGACTAAGATCTGTCTTCCTTTTAAATGTATTTTTATTAAAATAACATTTCTACTTAACATTGTAGGAGTTTCAGGTGTCATTATAAAAATCAACATCAGGGCCTTCCTGGTGGCCTGGAGTTAAATCTCAGTGTTATCTCCGCTATGGCCTGAGTTTGATTCCCCACCAGGGAGCTACCCATACAATGAGGTAGCAAAACTCTCCTGTCCAGTCCACTGCTCCCCTCAAGCAGTATTTCAGTAGGTCCACCTATTCTCTCCCGACTCTGTCTCTGGTGAAATCTCTGATCCCAATACCTCTGGCCTACCTGAAGTTCTATGCATAAATAGTTCTTAAAAAATAAAAAATAAGGGCCCTCCCTGGTGGTGCAGCGGGTTAAAGCACAGCACTGAGAAGCTAAAGCCACTTCTGCATGAGTTCGATCCCCGCCTGCCCCGGAGGTGACCACATGGCGTGGCAGACCTCTCCTGACCCGCCCGCTGCTCCCCTCAGCAGTGTACTTTGTCGATCTGCCTGTTCTGCTCCCCCCTGTCTCTAGTGAAGCCTCTCACCCTCTGCATCTCTGGCCTGTACCCCAGCTCTATATGAATAAATAAATAAATCTTTAAAAAAAATAAATAAAAAATAAATACAAATGAACATCATCTTGGACTATGTTAAGTTCACCTCTAAATCAAGATGGTTTTTGGTCTTGTTTCTTGAGGGTCATATCAGAACTGGGCTTAATGAACTAACCACTTCCCTGTTGCCTTCACAGAGAGGTCACCTTGGAGGTGTCCTGGCAGAGAACAAGTTCAACTAGTTACCTTTTCCCTAGGAGTCATAGGTGTGGTCTGTGATCCTTTTGGGTGGCTCCTCCCTACTGCTGTGGGCAGGAAGGCGGTATCTTTCAACTTCATTTCCGGTTTAATGACTTTTAAGTGTTTTTCATACAACTGTTTAATCCTTAGCACAGGGCACAAGACCTCATTTTTTTGGAAGTAGGAATATTTTGGGGGAAGAGAAATTAAGGAAGCAGAGTTATGTGGGCTGCTTATAGGGCTTTTCAAAAGTTAAAATCTAACCCTGAAGTCTCAGTCATCTATTAAAAATCTTATATCTTTAAAAATTTTAATTTTTTTCCCTAGATGCATCTGAACATGATATAAATCAGGCAAAAGGGGTCAGTGAGTGATAGAGTTGGTCTTTTAGCTGTGAATTTAACATGTACAGTGTTTCAGAATGATGAACATCTGAAACAGATAATACAATTAAAAAAATAGAAATCACTAACAGTATTTTAGACTTTTTTTGAAATTTAATTGAGGAAAATATATAAAGAAGTAATAAGCAGTCATTTACTGAATTGAATAAGAAAATATAGAAATTATATTTTTTCATGTTTAGGAAAAACCTCACAAAATACAGAAAAATGCTTAGCAATCTAAAATTTAGATTTTTTTCCTTTAAAATATCTTTTTGTACATTCCATAAAAAAACAGGATTATTTCAATGTCTACCAGATTTAGCATATATAGGTAATTAAATCATATGTAAATGATTTATACATTTATTTGTACTGAGTAAAGGTACATAATGCTTTTTTAATAAGTCCAATGTTTTTACTTTTCATCATTAAAAAGTTTACACTTTTTGGCCCTCCCTGGTGGCGGAGCGGGTTAAAGCACAGCACTGAGAATCTAAAGCCGCTTCCGCATGAGTTCGATTCCCGCCTGCCCCGGAGGTGACCACATGGCGTGGCAGACCT